GCTCGGTGGGCGGTTTGCATTGACACGAATATTGCGATGGAGTGTAAGCTTGCCCGAATTGAAGACGTCACCATCACCCACGTCAAGACCATCAAACATGTCTTCAGGCTCTGGCTCGCGCGGCTGAGGAGTCTTGAGGTTTGGAGGCTCTTCTTCGACGGGACGCACGGGAGAGCGACTGAGTTTCCTACGACTCAGTCTCTCACCAAAGTTGACCGGGCCGCTGGGGAGTACAAGGCCATCAAACGTCTCATCTTCGCTCTCGGCGGTGAATGAGCTCGAGACGCTGGGGCTCATGGCGGAGACAGACGAGCTCCTATTCGAACGAGCGTCTCTTCGAGTGCCTCCGAATCGAGTACCGAGGCTACCCTCACCCCAGTCCAGATCATCTGCTTGGTTCGACGGCGTCTTTGGAATGTCCTTTCTAGTAGAGAGCCTCAACTTGCCATCCGAGGGCAATTCGAAGTCGTTCTCAAAATCATCGTCCAAAGGCTTGTCAATCTTCTGAGGGGTCGGTGGGGTGATAAGTGAAATGGGTTTAGGCGGGCGAGTCTTTGATACTTTGATAGTTTCCGATCCATCGCCAAAGAAATCGTCGTCATCGTCATCGTTGTCACGGAACTTCTCCAAGTTGAGAGCCCCTGATAATGTGCTCGTCCTTGATTCCGTCGACTCTCTCCTGTCCAGCATAGAAACCGCGGGAGGAGTCTTCATAGCTTTGGTCGGGCTAGTCTGATTAGAACCGCCGCTGACTTGTCGAAGAGCGTCGGGGAATCTAGAGCCGTCCTGTGGTTTGATGCGAAGGGCCTGAGCCGAGTCTGGAAGAACCAGATCATCCTCCCAGTCGTCCTGCATGATCTTCTTGATCTTTCGTCCACCAAGTCGTTTAATAGTACCGCCCATTAGAGCGGAAGAAGGTACATTTTTGGGTATCGGGATGCCGGCCTGTGTGGCAGCAGCGATGGCGTCGAGGGTCGACTTCTCGTCGTCGCCCGGGACATGCACGTGGGTCTCTTCGTCCAGGATAGATTCGAGGTCGGAACGGAGGGAAACATGTGAAGACGCAGAGTCGCGTCGTGAGGGAGGAAGGGTGGTGACGGTAGCGGTAGAGGCGGTGCGGAAAGTCAGATCGTCGGTGTCGATTTGGAAATCGTCATCGTCCCAGTCTTCGATATCGGGTTCCGCCGCGGGCTGGCGTGGCTTGAGGCGTAAAGGTTCCATGTTTTCGGTAGGTTTCTTTGTTTGGGGGAGCGCAGAATTGAATTGGGTCCGAGAAGGCCGTGGTCGTATCGCAAAAGACTTCCCGACAGCGCTTTTCTGCTTGTCAATGTTGCAAGATCATATCGTCAACAATAACAGCAGCCCCGGCCCGGCATAACCTTGAGGAGGCGGAGATAGTGGTCGCAAGTGATGTTGTTTGGTAATATTTAGGCGTCGCGGGGGGCGCAAAAAGATTTGTCGTGGTGGTGTTTGGGCGTAGAAATGGCGGCGTGGATTGTTTTTGAGTCGAGTAAAGTATCGTCGTTTCCGGGATTGTGTGTGGTAGTGTGGGAAGTAGTGTCTGTCGGCTACTGGTAGGATGAATTGCGAGAGATGCAAACAGGTGCAGAGGCAGAACAAGTGGAGGTGATGCAAAGAAAGTCCGTCGTAAGGGGTGATTGCGCAAGAGGAACAGGAACAGGGTCCAGAGATGTCGAGCGTGACGTTTGTCGAGGGTTGTGCTGGAGTAGAATGAGATCAGGGCAGTCGTGAATGTCGGGGGGGAGAGACTGGATTTGCCCTTCTTGTTGGATGAGATGTAGCAAAAATGGCTGGGAAGCTGGGGTTGATGGATCGGGCCTGGCAAACAAAGCGAGGTGGTAGGTCGGCCAGATGGTGGGCTGGGTCCAGTACGAGTGGTGCGTGTGCAGAGCGTGGTGCAGCACAGCGCAACGTAGTGGGTGGTGTGGTGGACAGCTGGGTGGCTGGTATTGCGCGCAGGTGTGGGCAAACCCACTGAGCTACGTATCTTGTGAGGTGTTCCGCAGGCACGAGGGTGACAGAATTGGGGGTAGCAGAGACAGCCGGTGTGCGTGTGTTATACGACTCTCACGTTTCCCCCTTTTTCGCTAGGTTGGGTTTTCTCGTCTTTTCTTCTTTTTCTTAAGCTTGATTGAGAACCCACTATCGTCTTTTCTTAGTCTCACTGAGTACGGATACTGGGACAACAGAAGGAGGGAGTAAATAATAAGGCCGGCAGGGACGGTGAGAGGGAAGAGAGAATGGGTGAAAAAGAGAAAGCCGATCTAGACAAGCTGGGTCCGTTCTTTTTCTGCGGGACAGGCAGAGTCATGCTCCGGGTGGACAACAGACGGGGGAAAAGAACAGGTGGGAGACACGGAGGACGTGGGAGGGTACAGACCGGGGGTCCAGGGCACTCCAGTGAATCATAATTTTTCCCAGGGTGAGCCACGTGATTTAGCGGAGACATCAGATGGTTCATTGATTGGACGACGAGCACATGTATGCGGGGACGGTTGCACTTGACTTGCACGATTCTGACGCGTTGGAGGCGCGACAGCCCTTTCCACCCGTCGTCGTTTCAATTGAGCTCAGCCAACGGCGAATGCAGCAGCGAGAGGCTGGCAGCTCAGGGAGAAAATGGAGGCATTGGGCTATACTTAGTGCTGCCTGCCTTGTCTAACGATTCCTTCTATCAAGGGCAGAAAAAAAGAAGTTATCGAGAGTCTATGGGATCCCAGGGCGGAGGAATATTGGACAGTGCTTGCTCTGACTCTCTCTCTCTCTCTCTTCCGGTCCATCCCACAGGCAACAATATCTTAGGTCCAAACACAAAGCCGTCTCCTCCGTAGCTTCCTGTTTATTTGTTGACAGCAACCGACCTCGCCCAAGGTAAGGAAGGTACAAGCACCAAAACAATTGCTGACGACCTTACCTTCCTTGCCTTACTTTCCCGTTCTCCGTGCCATCCCACGACCTCTGTACCTCCTTCCCGAAAGTCTCAGTAGCACGAGTACCTACGTACCAAGGCCAAGGCTGCCTGAGGCGTTGCACAGTCCCCCCTTCTGCTGCCTGTCTGAGCGCCATAGTTGCCTAGCGCTCTCGACCCCAGGACCCCTTGAGGGCTCTCACGGTTCAGATGAAGCCACACTCACTTCGCTGTATTTAATCAACAAACTACCAACTCTGGAAATCCAGTCTCAGTCTTCACTCTCCCGGACTGCTCTGTCTCAACCTTCATCCAACCAGGAGTTCCCCTCGAGACACAGTAGTTGCAATTTAGATTCCAATTCTGAGAACAAAATAATTACGCACTTACTGAAACTTTCCAACGACAGTCCCGACCAACCTGAGCTCTCAGACCTTGCACCGGGTTGCAACTGCCACTTACATCGAACCTTCACCTCATTCCCGTGGCACGCAAGGGGCCATCAACCGATTCTTTCGTCAAGTTTATGTCGATTTAGTTTACCTAGTCATGGCATCCGGCCACGTTCTCCGATTTCCCCGGTCAGACAGTGAAGGCGCTTTTGTCATCGTCCAGGCCACGCCCACCCGGTCAAAGGCACTAGATGTCAAGTTGGTGGGAACAGACGGCGTGGAGCCATATGCCGTTTCTCGTGAGTTTCCAACTTCCAAGTTCCAAACGCTCGTCATCCCGCCTTCCTGGCCGACGATCACCGCGGCCCGGGCGAGTGGGGTCTTGGCCGACACCTGTTTCATGCGCCGAACTCACCCACCTCATAGTATACGGGAAATTTTGAAAAATAGCTAATGGAAGGGTTTCCCTGGTAGTGCGTCATGACAAAGTCGCATCACTACGCGTCAAGAACAGTCCAGTGTCTGAGGAAGAATGGGTCTCTATCCTGACTGCAGTCTTGCACCAAGAACCGGCCGAGGGCGTTGAGGCAATCGCCTCTGTGGAAAACGAGTCAGTTCTCACCCTGACAATTCGAAAAAAGGGGAGTGAGTTTACAGTAAGCTTTTTCTCATTCCAGCCTTTTACCTTCCGTATGGGTGGCCGGGCTGGGCTGACGGGCTGGGTAATCTAGCAACGGCTCGGCGCCATCGAGTTGAGCCACAGCCCACGCGAGCTCATTGAGCTATTCGACTGGTGTGCGCTCTCGGCGCAGACAGCCAATGAGGCCAAGGAAGCTCTAGCCTCGACGACCGCGAAGGCAAGCAAGCTCGAAGAATCTGTGCGGGAGCTCAAAGCTCAACTCGACGAGCTAGTTGCGGCCAAGGAGGCTGACGAGTCGGAACTGCTCGAAAAGTTCCGCGACCTGCTCAACGAGAAGAAGGTCAAGATCCGCCAGCAGCAGAAGCTACTCGCGTCTGCATCCGTCGAGCCGGAGAAGCTAGCGCAGGTACAGCAGAGCTCCCAGGCCGTGGTAAGAGGCCATGCGGCCGCCAAGTCGAGGCCGGGCAAGAGGAAGACCGCTCCCGCGCCTGTCGATGATGCTGATTCGCCAGAGGAAAGCGAAGGCAAAATGGATGTTGATGAGGTGAAGGAGCAGGCTGCGGACCTGTCAGATCAGCAGCGCGACACGACTGAGGACGAGGACGAGACGGCTAGTGAAGATGACGATGACGAAGAGCCAGCAGCACCAGCACCCAGTAAGCACACGCGGTCTCAAGTATCCCCACCGCCCAAGCCAAAGGCTGCTGCGGCGGCCGCGAAAAAAGAGGCGCCTCCTGCGAAGAGAGAGTTGCCTTTTGCAAGAAAGAAAGCAGCTCCTAAAGCACCTCCGCCGCCCGCTGGTAGCGAGACGGAATCTGATGATGAGTTATGAGGTGACGAACATGAAAGCGAATAAACCACGATACCTTCACTTCAGGTCTTACGTTCATATCATGCCAATATGCCCCATAGGCGTGAGAGATTAGACTTGCACACAGACGTCACTATTGGAACAATTCCATAATTACTAATTACAACTAACAATACTAGATACGCTCTTGACTACAACGAGCGCGGCGGATCCCGAACTTTGTCATACTCATCGGGTATCATCAGCGTCGAACTTGTTCTTCCAGAACCCGCGAACGTGCTTGGTCTTGCCAGCCTCGGCAATCTCACTCACCTCGCGGGGGGTCAGCTTGATGGCGGGGATATGGTTCAGGTAGCTCTGCAGTCTCTCCTCCTTGGAAGACGTGGTGATGACAATCAGACCCTGATCGATGCACCAGCGGAGTCCGATAACAGAGTCGCTCACGCCGTATTTCTTGGACAAGTTGGCCCAGATGGTTCTGACGGGTGAATCAACGTCCGAAGTAATGGGCGTTAGCGGAGCATAACAAGACACGGCAATATTGTTATCGCGGTGGAACTGCAGCAGGTCGCCGTGCTGCAGGTGAGGGTGGAACTCGATCTGGTTAATAGCAGGCACGACCTTGGCCGTCTTCAAGATTGCCTCGATTTGCGGCTGCAAGAAGTTGGAGAGCCCGATGCTCTTGGCGCGGCCGCTGGCCTGAATGGCCTCGAGATCCGCCCACTTTTGCTGCAGCTCCTCGTCCGAGTCGGCGAAGAAGGGCGCGTGGATGAGGTAGAGGTCCACGTACTCGAGGTCGAGCTTCTTCAGCGAGGTGGCGAAGGCTTCTTCGGTGTCCTGCTTCTTGGTACCGCTGATTTTGGCGGTGACGTAGAGCTTCTCTCTTGGCACGCCGGCCTTTTTGATGGCTGCGCCGAGTTCTTCTTCATTTCCGTATACTAGGATCGTGTTAAAAAATGGTGATCTATAGATATGTGAGTGAGTTAGTGATACTGCACGTACCTTCGGCGCCATCGAGATGATGGTATCCGGCCTTGATCGCCATGACGGTGTTGTCGACGATCTTCTCGTCAAAGCTGGCCCCGCCAGCCTTGTAATTGGCAGTACCCAGGCCATATCCGAGCTACAGATACGTCAGTATGAGACGCTTCCTGGAGTACGCTGACGGCGATGCAGCAATTTTGCAATTTAAAATGTGAGCTGGAATGCCCTGGAATCTGGCGCTGGATGCTGACATGCATTACCGAGCGGCAGATCTTCCCGCAGGAACAGGAATCCTTTAATTTGAGCTCTTACTTACCATGGGAATCATCTTGCCATCGTTGAGAGTAAGCCATGGGATATAATCCACCTGCTTGGGAGGTGTTCCCGAAGCATCGGGCGTGAAGGTGGACAGAATCGAGTTCATGGTGCGCTTTTGAAGATGTTGAGAGCTGATGAGGGGCAATACGGGACGGGGGCGTAGCGTTGAGCAGAGTCTGGATGAGTGTCTCGTCAAGAACATACGGCGATGTAATATGGAAGGGGAAGATAAAAGATAGCTTCGAGCAAATGGGTATTGATGGACCGCGGCCAGGGGTTTGTATTTCTAATACGACGAGACGGCCTTCTACTGGTCTCTTGAGAGGGAGGAGCTATGAGGTGAGGGGTGACGGTTGTGTTATCAGCGCGATGGGATGGGACGAGGACGAGACATGAAAGGCACTGTTCCTTCAGCTCCTCATTGAGATTTGTTTCGATGACATGCAGTAACAGCAAACTCGCAGGAAAAACATGCTTCCCCCGCCTGCATCGGCCAAAAAGAGCCGAGACGTCCAATTGACATCACCGAAAGTCGTGCCTCTACTGGTAAATTGGGGTGAGCTTTCTGTCTTGGTGTGTCAAAGGGAGGCGCTTTTCGGAACTTGCTGCAGTGGGCTGGAACCGCAGCTTCCTTCTCCTCACCCCACTTGCCCCAATTGGAGCTGTTTGCCAGGGCGTGCTGGATTCCCGGGACGGCGGCGGGGAGGGGAGTTTGGGGGCTGCTGCGTCCTTTTGCAGTGACGCCAACGGTGACGACAGTGTGGGAGCTGTTGCGTGATGCACCACCCGGGGGCTTCGACATGCAGCGTCGGCCGGGACTCGGACCGTGAACTTTGGGTAGCTTATCCTGAGGGTTGGGACCCCTTTCGGATCTTGGAGCGGGGACCGAAGGCAATTTCGAACTTCGAGATATTGATAAAGGTATTCGACTTTATCTGGATGATCAATTGTCTCCGGAATCGGTGGTTGTTGCCATCGGCGACCGTCAATGTGGACGCCGAGGTTCTTTCTATCCAGGTGCGCATCTTTGCTTTAGTCAGCGTAGATTTTTTGGGGCATCGCCACTGAAGCTCCGAGAGTCCCTCGTCGCCGACTCGGTGCTGCTGACTTACACTACGGATCATCATTACCGAATGACCCCTCCACCGCGTTTTTTCTAACCACTGCTCGTGTACACTCGCATATGATACCCCCGTTCTCTTCGTGTGAATAGATTTGTTTAATCATCGTATTTCACATCAAAGTGAACCTCACATCCGCGTATATGCTCTCAAGACTGCTCTCCCGTCGAGCCGTCCCAAGAGCTATCATCAAACCCTCGGCCATCATGGCCGCCCAACTCTCCAACGGCGCAAAGCCAACAGCGACATCCTACCAAGGCCTCCCGATAGGCGAGCTGCCCAAGACATGGACCTACACCTCCTCCCTCCCGCCCGACGCAATCTTCCCGACGCCCGCCGACTCCCACAAGACCCCGCGCGACCAAATCGCCCCGCGCGGCGTCCGCAACGCAGCCTTCACCTGGGTCCGCCCCGAGACCACCGAGAACCCGGAGCTCCTCGCCGTGAGCCCGGCTGCGATGCGCGATATCGGAATCAAACAGGGCGACGAGGAGACAGAGGACTTCAAGCAGACCGTCGCGGGGAACAGGTTACACGGCTGGGACGAGGAGAAGCTCGAGGGCGGATACCCGTGGGCGCAGTGCTACGGCGGATTCCAGTTCGGGCAGTGGGCAGGCCAGCTGGGTGACGGGAGGGCTATCTCGCTGTTCGAGACGACGAACCCGGAGACCAAGACCCGATACGAGCTGCAGCTCAAGGGCGCGGGCATCACTCCTTACTCCCGGTTTGCGGACGGCAAGGCGGTGCTGCGGTCGAGTATCCGCGAGTTCGTCGTCTCTGAGGCCCTCCACGCCCTCGGGATTCCCAGCACGCGCGCGCTGTCCCTGACGCTGTTGCCCAATGTCAAGGTCAGGAGAGAGACGGTCGAGCCGGGTGCGATTGTGCTGCGCTTTGCGCAGTCCTGGATTCGGTTGGGAAACTTTGATCTCCCCCGTGCCAGAGGCGACCGCGCCATGCTCCGGACTTTGGCAACATACGTCGCCGAAGATGTCCTCGGCGGCTGGGAAAAGCTTCCTGGACGCCTCGACGATCCCGAGAAACCCGCCGGCTCTTCCCTCCACGAGCCCGCCCGCGGCGTCCCGGCAACGGAGATTCAGGGCCCAGACGACTCAGCCGAGAACCGCTTCACCCGTCTCTTCCGTGAAGTCGCCCGCCGCAACGCCCTGACCGTCGCCAAGTGGCAGGCCTACGGCTTCATGAACGGCGTGCTGAACACGGACAACACCTCCATCGCGGGCCTGAGCATCGACTTCGGCCCCTTTGCGTTCATGGATAATTTTGACCCGTCCTACACGCCCAACCACGACGACCACATGCTGCGGTATAGCTACCGTAACCAACCTACCATTATCTGGTGGAACCTCGTCCGCTTCGGCGAGGCGCTGGGCGAGCTCATCGGCGCGGGGGCCAGCGTGGACGAGGATAGGTTTGTCAACGACGGGGTTGAGGAGAGCGAGTCCGAGGTCCTCGTCGGACGGGCCGAGAAGCTCATCATGCAGGTTGGCGAGGAGTACAAGGCGCTCTTCATGGCCGAGTACAAGCGCCTCATGACGCTGCGCGTTGGTCTGAAGAACTTCAAGGAGAGCGACTTTGACGAGCTGTTTAGCGGGCTGCTGGATACCATGGAGACCCACGAACTTGACTTTAACCACTTCTTCCGGCGCCTCAGCTCCGTCAAACTGTCGGATATTGCGACCGAGGACGCCCGCCGCGAGACGGCTGCGCGGTTCTTCCACGCCGAGGGCGCGACGGCCGGCAGCGAGGCCAAGGGCCGGTCTGATGTCGGCAACTGGCTGGGCAAGTGGCGCGCTCGCGTCATCGAAGACTGGGGCGAAGAAGAGGGCCAGGATGCCGAGCGGGAGAAGGCGATGAAGGCTGTGAACCCCAACTTTGTGCCGCGTGGCTGGGTGCTTGACGAGATTATCAAGCGGGTTGAGAAGGATGGCGAGAGGGATGTGTTGAGGAGGGTCATGCAGATGGCGCTACATCCCTTTGAGGAGAGCTGGGACGGTCAGGGGATTGACGGTCACGAGTACAAGGGTGATAAGGCAGAGGAGGAACGGTGGATTGGAGATGTGCCCAAGTTGAAGAGGGCTATTCAGTGCAGTTGTAGCTCATAGGTATCGAGGCTATAGATGCAAGTCTTCAATGGTAATGCCAGGCGCTTAAGATTGTCATGGGTCAAAAACGTGAAAGTTATCCCTACTGATAATGTTTGAATGCTGCCGCCGTTCCAAACCGTTCACGATAATCATCCCCATGCGTTATGGCGACACATGTGCCTGAATATTGTTTCGGCAGCCGTCATGACTGAAAGCTTCGCGTAATCAAAGCCGCGGGAGCGAAGAGCTGGAAACACCAGCAAACGTTACCTCTTCTAAGGGAACAAGGTAGGAAATACCGACTCTGTCGTTCTGCGCGATCTAATTCACTTCCTCCACCATAGCGGTTGATTTGCTCTATCAAAAGCTTCGATGGTGTCAAGCAATTTCTCATCGCGAAGACGATCATTCGTTAGATACTTCCCCATATCTTGGAAAAGATTGTCTTCTTCCTTCTCTCGGGATTCCGTTGCTTCGAACAGACGGTCGAACAGTTTGCGAGTTGCGGCCAATTCATCCAGAATCCTTGATTCGGTTGTCTTATACTGTTATACTGCTGATGCTGATTTATGAATCATATTCCTTGAGATCGCTGGTAGTATGGCTCTCGTAGGGGAGGCAAGGCAGCGGCAGCTTTGCCACAAGATTGTCTTCGTTACTTGCATCATTATGCGGTGTATTGGAAGAACCAAAATTTGTAGCAAGGTGTGCTGGAGGCGACGTGCGTAACTGGTAGGGCTGGAAAGTTGTACGATCACCATCGTCGTTACCACTAGATACCTTTGAATACCTTTCGTCAAGACGTACTCTCGTGGTGTACTGCCAGAGTGTACTCCAAGATTTGGGAGTATCAACTACCTTGACTACCTCAATGAGGGGGAGGGATATGATGGTGATATGAGTACTGGTAAGAATAGCGGTAAGGTTTCATTGAGCGGTAATTCATCGTGTCACACACTTGACTACCTAATAGGTTCGTAAACCTCCTTGACTAATGACGGCTACTTGAGATGACATCAAAAGGTATCACGAAACACAAGAAATATGAAGGTATTTACTTTCTTCAACTACCCGCCACTCTCTGCCCGCGCGTGCTATTATATACAAGCAATGCATCCATCCCAAACAAAGGAACTCTCTTTTCTTCATCTTCGTTCTCCTCCCTCTACGATCGTAGTCGTACAGTCTGTCCCTCATGCTCCGTACGCAATCTGGCCCATTGGCCTGTCCTCCTCCATGCCTGGTGCCATGAAGTTGGTCTTGGGGCTGCCACTGGCCTTGGCTGCAGAGCAGCGGGCCATTGTCGGTGAACTGGATGTACATGTTAGCTATGTCTGACAAAGGTTTCGAAAACGTCTACACGCGAACAACATACCTTCTTGAGATGACGTCTGTGAAATAGAAGTTTTCGATAACCTTCTTCAAAGGTGTACCGCTGGCCTTGGAGCCCTTGTTCTGGTCAACCAGCTGAACCTTGCTCAATTGCTGCAGAGCGACGGGCTCAACCACATCGTAGGCCGCCAGGGCCGGGCTGATCTCGGCCATTCTGTCACGAAGCTGGGCAACGTCGTTGTAAGGGAGGGGAGCACCGAGGAACTCGCTGATGGCACGGGCGATCTTCCAGTCGGTGCGGGAAGCGCCGGGCAGGGAGGTGGCGGCACGGGTCATCTGGACACGACCCTCGGTGTTGATGTAGGTACCAGCCTTCTCGGTGTAGGCAGCACCGGGGAGAACAACGTCGGCGATCTGGGCGCCGCGGTCACCGTGGTGGCCCTGGTAGACGACGAAAGCGTTCTTGGGAATGTCCTTCTCAGAGATCTCATCGGCACCAAGGAGCCAGACGAACTTGGGAGCAGTCTCAGCAACCTCAGTGGAGGGGGTGGTGAAGCCGACCTCGAAGGCACCGGCGCGGGAAGCGGCTCTCTGAAGGACGTTGTAACCGTTCCACTCAGGGGTGATGAAGTTGGCGGCGTTCTTGTCGACGAAGGCACCAATGGTCTCGTAGAAGGCCTTGGCGTCAACATGGTCAGTGACACCAGAGCCAACAACGATCATGGGGCGCTTGGCAGCCTGGAGCTTCTTGCCGAAGGGTCCGGCAAGAGCCTGCTTCAGGGCGGCGTGGTCGAGACCAAGGTGCTCAAACTCGAAAGTTGATTCCCAAGTCTCGCCAACGACACCAATCTCGAGGTCAGAGCGAAGCCATTGCTTGCGGATACGAGCGTTGAGAACAGCGGCCTCGTGACGAGGGTTGCTTCCGACGATAAGGATGGCATCGGCCTCCTCAATACCGTAGATCCTGGAGTTGAACAAGTAGTTGGAGCGAACATCGACGCCGTGGGCGACGGGCTTGCTTCCGTTGGGCATGTCGAGGGCCAAGTTCTCGGAGCCGAGCTTGTTGGCCAGGTCCTTCATGGCAACCAGGGACTCAACCTCGGTCAGCTCACCGGCAATGACCTTGAATTCGTTGCCCTTGGGCTGGATGTGGTGGTAGGCGTTGGCGACCTCCATGAGGGCTTGCTCCCAGTCGGCGGGCTCGAACTTGCCCTCACGGCGGATCAAAGGCATGGTCAATCTCTGGGTCTTCAATCCGTCGCAGGCGAAACGAGTCTTGTCGTTAATCCACTCTTCGTTGACGTCGTCGTTGAGTCTGGGGAGGATACGCATAACCTCAAGGCCACGGGAGTCGACACGGATGTTGGATCCCAAGCCGTCGAGGACATCGATGGACTCGGAGTGCTTCAGTTCCCAAGGTCTCGCGCGGAAAGCGTAAGGCTTCGAGGTAAGGGCACCAACGGGGCACAGATCGATAACGTTGCCGGAAAGTTCGGAGTCGAGGTTCTTCTCAAGGTAGGTACCGATCTGGATGTCGTTGCCACGGCCGAAAGAGCCCATCTCGGGGGCACCGGCAATATCGTTGGAGAAACGCACACATCTGGTGCAGTGAATACATCTGTTCATGGAGGTTTTGATGAGGGGGCCAATGTTCTTGTCCTCGACGGCACGCTTGCCGCCAATTTCATGGAAGCGGCCACGGTCGCCACCGTATCGCATCGACTGGTCCTGGAGATCGCACTCACCACCCTGGTCGCAGATAGGGCAGTCCAAAGGATGGTTGGCGAGGAGGAACTCCATGACACCCTCACGGGCCTTGTGTGTGATGGGAGAGTTGGTCTTGACGACCATACCGGGCTGGACGGGCCATGCGCAGGAGGCTACGGGCTTCGGTGCACGCTCGACTTCGACCAAGCACATACGGCAGTTACCGGCAATCGCAAGCTTTCTGTTGTATTTGTCAGTCGGGGGTCATCCCTCGCAGCGGTCATCGATTCGATCGAAAGGGGCGTCGTACTCATGGTAGCAATATCTGTTGAGGAGTTAGTTAATGCCATACAGACTGTTTGTTGACGGCTGAACAAACCTGGGAATTGTGACGCCTGCCTTTTCGCAAGCTTGAATCAGGGCGGAGCCGGCTAGAAGATGGTCAGTAGGAATCCTCGGACACGGCCACATTGCAGCTCACCTTCAACAGACACCTTCTTTCCATCTGTAGATCTCGTCAGCAAAACCTCGATAGAAACCAATTGAGCCCCTCGCGAGGGCGGGTTCGTCCTTACCAACAGTCAGTTCGACTTCGGCATTCCTGCGAGCTGTTGTAGCAAAAGTTCGCGAGGCATTGGCGGCCTGCTTGCCAGTCCGCCAAGCCGAACGTGCTAATGAATGCCGCAGCATCGTATCGCCTTGACGGATTGAGACTCTGACGAAACGGGGGAGGGCGTTTGGGTGAGAGGCGGATTGATATTCAATCGTTGACGTCGGGAGGGAACTGCTCTTCTGTCCCGGACCATGGGGATTTGGTGGCGCTAGTGCGTAAATCGCGATTAATTTACATCAACCGTGATTGGTCGACCATCCCGGGAGCTTACTTCTCGCCTGAGGCATCAAGAAATCCCTCTGAGCACCATTTAGTCTGCGGAAAATTTCGTCGCAGAGCGCCTCTTTCTCTTTTTCCTCTTCACTTTAAATTGTATGGACACTTATCGTAGGTGAGCTTGAGCTTCGCAAGATGCTTGATCGAGCCTTCCTCTATCTAGTGTACCTAGATGAAGCTTTTTGACGCCGTTTATGGAAGCATGGGAGAATTCTTCAATGACCGCTGCCTCTTACCGCCGGTCGTTACATATCATGATGACGACGAGACTTTGTTGTATATAGTACGTGCGTTTTACTAATATCTCGTGATGTGTATGTGCATTTCCTATGTACACAAAACGCTGTGCGGACGCATCGCCGCCTTACGCGAGACACCTCTAAATGGCAGCGATTTCGTCGGGCGACCATCTTCTTTAGGTCCCCGGCGGTCTTGCCTACTATTCCCAGTTCATGTTGTGTTCCTCAGACACTTCCGCCCACTGCTACTCAAGCTACCTTTTGTCGCTTCTAGCTCCGAGCAGTCTCATCCCCCTGCCCTTGGTCGGCAGACGATGCCTTGAGTGCAGCATCCAACATCTCTTGATAGGGCTCTTTGAGCTCTTGGGCGTGGTTGTGGTATCCGTGCAGTTGACCCACGGCTTGGCCAGCATTGTAGAGAGACCATTGAAGTGCTGATGGCCTAGGAGGCATTACTTGCGGAGTCTCGGGAGGCTTGTATGTGGACAGGTGCCGGTCGTTGTAATCAGCGCCGGGCGGTATCGGGGCGTGGACCGACTCCATGATGAGAGCTTCCTCGCCTTGCATGAGGCCTGCGGGTGTCTCAATGAAGCCCTTTTCCGCTTCCTCTTGTTTCGCTACCTGTAAGATTCGCTTGTGCTCTCGCTCATAAACAAAGACAAGGTTCTGCTCGACGGCGGCTGTGTGTTTTTCAAGATTCTCTTGGCAGAGCTTGATGCGCTCTATCTCGGTACGCGGAGCGTCGTAAGGATCAAAGAGGCTCTCTTCCAGAGGAATGAACATCGCCAGAGCCGGCACGGCTTGTGGGATATCCTCCTCCTCCTCCTCCATGATATATTCGGCAGCAACCTCTGCTTTTCCATGTCTCGTCGACTGATCATTTATGGTTTCTCGCATCTTGCCCACGAATCCGTCGCTATCATCAGAATCTGAGTGCCAATCTGGGCCTTGACCGCATCTCAGGTAGATTTCGCAGTGTTGTGACCTCGTCGAGTTGCGCAATATGATGGGGTAGGTGGAAGACGAAAGGTTAAGGTTGAGCTTCTTGGGAAGGTGGGACTAAGACTGTAAGGGTAAGCTGAGGTCCCACGTCTGTGATCGCAGTTTCAAGGTGGCTCCGAACTTACACCCCGGTCCTGCTTATTTTTCGCAATTGACTCGAATCTCAATGGGCACACATGAATGATATATAATCAAGTTTCGTTGCAAAGACTCTGTTCACGATGCTTGTTTGCTTGTTTCTCACTTTTAGTGAAGCCCAATGTCGAAGTTTCCTCAAATTCGCTGGTGTAACAGGTGAATGGGCAAGTGTGGTATAGGTATGAAAGTGAAACGTTAAATTTTTGAATTTACAACTGCTTGCTATTGGATATCACATTTATATGATCAGGCCGGTCCTAGCTCTGGACATTCCTTGAATAGGTAGGTTGTTCAGTTCAGTCGGTTCCTGCCTCCTTAGCCCGAAGACTTGGCCAACTGTTGCAATTGGCACAGTATGTATGGTGCTTTCCCATGTGACGGCTTTCTTTATGATGTCCTTTGGGGGACATTCTGGTTTGACTGCCCATCGCCAAGAGGGGATTTCTTTATCGTCGCTATCCAGACTGTTCCCTTGATAAGATTATTCCCCATGTTCAAATCAAGGGACACAAATATTCGGGCCGTCATGGGAGTGTACGCCGCTACTCCAGGACTGACTTCAAAGCGTCACCGCTGCCGAAGAAGCCTCCTAAGCTTGGGGGGCGAAGGCCGTAAAAGACGATCAGCAGACCGGTGTTGTTATAGTCAGCCAGTAGCAGTGCTGTTGATCGAATCAATGCTATGTCAGCCTAAAAGCTTCGCCTTCTCTTGCTGCCAGCGGGAGAATTGTCATCTGGCGGGTAAGACGTTCCTCACGTACTCCCGCATCAACTTCACACCTGCCCGGACCAAGTCTTCCAGTCGCCGGTCCTTCCGCTTGCGCATCCACAGTAGGATGAAGGCTAGCAGCACCATATCGATGGCTAGATGTTTCATAATAACCCATGTTAACCATCGTAGCCAGGCTGGGAAGCTTCGTGACTTTTTGGACTTCCACTCTCTTCCTGTTGTTATTTGCTCTCGTAATGCCGCGACCTCGGCGGACAGCTTCTCAAGTGCGCGCTCCACGCTGCGAGACCAGTTGCTGCTGGGCACGAGCGCGTCCCCTTCGTCATCATCGTCGTAACCTATCCTTCCATCTGAGTTCCTTTCCGCGGCATCGTCCTCGCTCATGGGACTGAGAACCTTCAGGGGGCCTTCGGATCCAGCCAGGGGTGGCTGGAACTGCCGTAATTCGCCGGTGTAACCTGTGCCTTTCGGTGAAGAGTCGGTCGAGCTGGGGCTATTGTTCTTGATCTGATTCCATACGAACTCGAGTTCCGAGACAAGTTCCTTTGCGTCTCTGTGGTGACGAGTTAGTGGGCTGCGATGCGCAAAGAGCGGTTCCAGTAACAGTAGGATGGGCATGCGGGCTCACGGTGTTGTCGCATATTTGTGCATCGTCTCGATCAATGCTTCGATGTATCTTCTCTTTGCTTCCGTCCGGCTTAGACCTTTCTGGAGGTTCCACGCATCCCACTTGTCTTTCTCGCGTTGAAGCTCGTCGGCTGGCATGCCGGAAGCCGAGGTCGGCCGCTCCATGACGCCATCGACATCCCCCTCCATCGCTTGCTTGTAAAGGCCATAGAGTCGAAGTCTGTCGGACGGCGGGGGACGCGATGCCCCTGTTTTGGGGATTTTCTTGACGGTATTTAAGGCATGGACGAACACGCGATCTATAGAGAGAAGGCATAATCGCATAATTAGCCGGGGAATTGCTCTCTCCACAACGAGCGCATAGAAAGGTTCTGCTTGCACTCACCCACGGAGTCAGCCATCTAGAAAGCCGTTTCTCGAGGCGACCGGACCGACGTGATTAGTTGGCAAAGGGAGGGAAGACGCGCTCGTTGAAGGGGAGTATATCCGAGGTGTTCTGGGCGTTGGGGTTGGGTTCGGCTCAACAACACCAGGCGAAGATAGCAACTCAGATAACCTAGTTCCGTAAATCACCTGGATGTGCCGGTAGAGCGAGGTACCTTGGCAGCCGGAACTGAAACGGAATGGGGGAACAACAGGTGCTGGGAAAAGGAGAGAGTTAGAGATCCAGCACGCTGACATGCATTATGTGAGAGCTTCGCCATGGGACTCTTTCCCTTCGTCGTCCAAAGAGAAAGAAAGGATCTGGTGGGTAGCAGGAGAGTAGCGGCGGCGATGGCGGGTGCTGGCAATGAGGCACAGGTATTTCGGTACCGGCAATCAGCTGTCTCTAAATTGGGCCCTTGGGAGGGCCACTGGGGGGTTCGCGCCGATGTTAGCAGCATCGGAAGGGGTGGGCGATTTCCGGTAAATTGTGTTTGCCTCGGCCGTGGGTCACGCAACGCAACGCAGACGCAGCGAAGCCCGCGCAACGGCAACGCACCCACGCAACCAACTGGGAGTCTGCGACCCCAACCCAGCAGCACCTGGGGGAGTTTAGAGTGGACGTGGGACCTGGGTGCGCGGGCCTGACGCGGGCTTGTCAGGGGTTTGTGCTTCTCCGAGATCCCGACTAGCAATTTACTCCCATCATCCCCGCGTCTTCTCTCCCTTGTGCGTGTGATTGAAGCTAGGTACCGGTAGCCTGCGGCATCTGCTTGTCGGCCGAGAAAGACATGTAGGCACGTGAAATGCGGGTAACCCTGGATGTGCGGGACGTTCCATTGTCTTTCGTTATGTTTTCGTCCTCAATTTAGAGTTCCGTCAATTGAGACTTCAGTACAAGTTTCTAAGCTGATATTGAGCCGAGGCCTATGGGTCCCAGCTTAGCGGCTACGGAGGTCCATCGTTGTTCGGCATTGGGCAGCTAGCTGTTTACTCATCTCGGCTTCTACGCAGAAGGTTGTGCACCCACGCGGTTTGTATGGTTAACACTTCAGCGAACGTCCGAGTCGAGTTCATCTGGCATCTCTGATGTGCTCTCTCAACCACCCTAACAGCTCTTCCTAGCTGTGTACTTTATGGCGTTAGCTTTTTGAGCAATTTAGTCACTATGAGGCTCATACATCTTCTTAGATGGTTGTTGCTTCAATTGAGACTGGTATCGTGGGTATAGTGCAATCGCCTGACTCTAACCTCGCCTATTTCTCCCCAAGAGCATCCAGGAAAGCCTTCTTCTTCTCCTGGTACACTTTCAGCAATTTCTTGTTGTTCAGCGCCATTTGCGCTGCCTTTTGGCCCGCCTCCTTCTTATTCAAGTCGCTTCCTGTTCCGAGGAGTTTATTTTTCTCGCCCCATCCGTCAAGGTACACTCCGACGCTGAAGAGGGCCAGCTTCTTGTTGTACTTGTCTTTCTTGTTCGCATTGGGCAAGTCCTCGTAGCGGATGGTGATGCCGTTCGCACCAATAGCCTGGCTAAGGAGGACCTTTGGCGGTAGACTAGACTCTTCTGTCACCGTTGCGCTGAGCTCCTTGACTGTCTGTAACCCAGGCGTCTTGGCAACCGACCTGATCTGGTCTTTGATAGTCGATGCCCATAGTGTCCTGAGCCACTCCGCAACTCGAGCGAGACCATTGATGGGGTCGGAAAGAACCACAGCGGCGACGTATGCTTCAAATAGATCACCGCGAACCTTTTTGATTTCATGTGGTTTTGCCACGGCCGGTTGGGTACCTCTGGGCTTGAACTCGGACGGCAGATTCGCTCTTTCGAACAGCCCGTAGTGTGTTGAGTACTCTCCCAGGTTGGCATTGCGAATCAGAAGCTCTCTGATCTGTGAGCACTGGCCTGTTGACATCCCCCCGAAAGTTTGGAAAATGAGAGAAGACGAGATCAATTCGACATAGGCATCTCCAAGCCACTCAAGGCGGTCGTAACTCAAATCCGATTTGTGCTTGGCCACGCCTACATGGGTGAAGGCCGCCAACTCTAGGACAGGATTCGTGATTTTTGGAAGAGGCGGCATTGTCTTCGGAATATCGGCTGGCGTCCACGGCTTGACCAAGATGAAAGACGGTATTGGCGGTCCTGAGACCACTAGGCTTTGCCTAGGTGTCAATGGGGATTGGCCGTCCTCATGTGATGCATTCTTTCCCTATAAAGTCAGTAAGAAATTGACAACGCATGAAAGGGAGTGAATGCCTTTACCTCATTCTCTTCGACCTCACCACTTTCTAGGGCCTGTGTATTTCCTTCCCCAGCCAACTGCTCGAAAGATGGCAACAACACCTTGCTAAGCTGCCGGATCTTCTGCAAGTCTTCACGATGAATAGAAGATCTTGTCTTCGCCTTGGTCAGCGCCTGTAGGCATTTGATGAGATCATCGCCGTGGTCGAGAAGCAAGTCTATTGCCTCGCTTTCGGTATGTCTTCGCTTGCTCGGTGGCAGCGTTCCTGAACTCGAGCGCTTGCTCATCTCGATTCTTTTCCGATACAAACACACCGCGAATTCTGCTCGAATGATATGACGAGCTTTTGTAATCGATGTTGTAAACTGAAAAACCCAAATGCTGGCCGATAAAAATGAGAGGATTTTGTCGCAATGTTGATACTTACGTCTTATTCACCAGTGACCATCTCATCAAGAAGCAACAAAAATTAAGCAGTCTATGCTTGGGTGGAGCTCACTGTGCTTTCGCTGCAGGGATCCAGTCCCTGAGCCTGGGATGCGAGGACATGGATAAGGTACGTACCAAAAAACAACGGCCAATCGATGATCCCAAGCCCGCAACCAATTGGAGTGCGCAGCTCTCATCTTGCGGGTCCAGTTCAGGACTCAGGTTCGCCCAAGCTTGTTCGACTTCGCGACAAATTTCTGGCTGATCTGATAGAGCTCTGTCAAGACCTGTAAAGATGAGTGTCCCACGCGCGAGGTTGTTGGACCTCATGAAGGTAATTTACGCGATTCCCTGACTTTTCTGGTCGTTCGCTAACTTCTATAGGCCCAATGCGAAGTCTTTGCGACAGTATTTAACCCCGAGGGAGTGAGGACGGGCAACAAGATCCTGCGCCAGCGATTGAAGGGACCTGCAATCGCCGACTACTACCCACGCAAGGTTGCGACGGTCAAGGATGTGCAGAGAGAGTTTGGCCCTCATGTCACAACTCTCGACTTGGAAGAGATGGACCGCTTGGAGCACATTGCTGGGTACGTCATGGGCTGAAGGGGGCGAAGGAGCTACCGCTAACGCCTAGACAGATTGAAGGCCAGAGGAAAGAGTGCGCCGAAAAAGAAGAAGACGAAGAGTAAGTTGTCTCGCTTGCTGTTCCCGATTGGATGGTTATGCTGACTTTTCTACAGCGGAGCCCAAGAAGCGATAAACGTTTGCCACGAAATTGATTGTACGATACGATGTGCAACTACCGAGCGATCCCTCGAAACCATGCGCGCCAGAATACTCTCCATGTATATAGAGTGGCGAGACTTTGGGCAGTATAGTTGCCGACCGAGGCAGCCCAGGTGGCTCTGTCAAAGTATGTGGAGGCCTAGGAACCTTCAGGCACAGGCATGGTATAAAAATACTGTGGATCACGGCTTCAGCGGACCATGGGGAGGATGTCCATCAACATGGAGGGCAGCCAGTGTACAAATACTATGGAGGATATCAGAGTCACAAAATCAAAAGTCTCTCCGAGAGACAGCCTTGTCTCATGTTTCAAACGACAATTCCCATTTCATTGAATCCTAGCTGAATGATTGCCTTGATCGGTAGGTTCGAACGCCAATGCGCCCTGCGTGGAGCTATTCGCAAGTAAAGACACACAGGATCTTCTACTTCCCTCAGTGCTAGGAAAAATCCCATCTAGGCTCGGTCCTGGATCTGCGGGGTTTCTCTTTCTACTACCCTGGGCACAACTGGATACCTAAGCATACGAGCAGAAGGCTGAGTCTTTTCTCAGGGTTGATGAGAAGATTGGGGCAAGGCAGCAGGGGCGGTAAGCTCTCCCCTCAAGTTGAATTCCATATGATGATTCGGCGACGCTAGGGTAGGCAGTGGTGAATAAGTCGAGGCCGGCTGGCCAGGCCCTCCTCCTTCACCTGGAATATGGAGCGGGTCGACAGGTCTTTCACCTGTAGAAAGACCTTTGCGGTACCTGCTCGCCCATATCAGGAAGACTGTGCTAAATTTCAGCCGAGTCGCGATCTCCTTTCGACTTCAAGGCCCTCAACGAGAGCCCTTCCTTCGTCAGGCCAAGCAGCAGCTCATCATTCCTCCTTCAACTCGGAACCAACTCCACGATCTCGGCTCTTTCAGATTATTCTGTCCTGACCCGCAATAGCTTCGATTAGGGCCTTCGTACGCCTTGCCTTCCAAGAGGTGCCTGTGCTGCCCGGGACTGTCTCCTTCCCAACACCAACTCGAGCTCCTTCCTCGCTCCTACTTCACCTTCCCATCCCCCATTGTCTCCCCATTCCCACCACAAAAAGCTTTCCTTACCTTTCCCCTCCACAACTCCTCCACAAACAAACCTCTCCCCCCACCACAGAGAAGAACTTCATCAGCACTCTTCTTTGTGTCTCCTCCCAAAGAATCTTTCTCAACTTGTCTGCCACCTTACGGCATTACCTTTGTTTCTATCTTCTGCAAAGTATTGACCCTCCAAGAAGAGATTGTCCGACGTCACGATGTCTACACCTCCCTCCGCGGGTCTCACCCCCAAGACCCCCAAGCGAAGCTCTCCTCCGGCTTTGAAGCCTCGTCACGAAGAGGAGAACATCCAGCCTTCCATCGAGTCAGCTGCCTCGGTAAGTATAATTCTTTTCTCACCGCTGTCTTGAAGATCTATCATTTTTTTCTGCCCTTGGCCACTGCCGTACAACACAAATTCTTCGATCAAGATAGATGTCCGGGCTAACCAATATCAAAGGGTCTCCCTGCCTTCAAGCAGAGGCAAACTATTGCAACTCTTGCTTCATCCAAGCTCGCCAATCAGAATGTTCTCAAGGTTGGTTCTTCCACCCGCAATCTGCCGCTCCGCTCACAGCGACGACAGAAGAAGGCCAATCAGGACACTATTGCTGGCACGAACCCTATGGATATGCTCCTTGCCAAGCTATCTGAGCAGCAAGCTGCCCTCGATCAACAGAACGAGGCTTTGAAGAACTCTGATGAGAACAGCTTGTACTCCCGTCACTTCGACAAGGCTTCTTCGACGACGAACTTGGTCCCTATCACTCCTGCCACGGACTCGTTCCCCACGACTGCACCTACGAGTCGCCCAACCAGTGCCGCTCTTAAGGAGACTAGCGGCAACGTGGACGAGCTCCTTCGACTGAAGATGGAGCTTGCCCGAGCGCAGAACAAGATCTCTCGCCTTGATCACGAACTGGCTCAGTCGCGCTCGGTCAAGCAAGAAGAAGACATTGCTCCGGCTCCGCCTGCGGCTCGTTTGGGGGCATTCGGAGCTGAGAACGCCTGGCCTACCGACGACAACTCCTCGGATATCGGCGCCCCTTCCATCAACAACTACAGTCGTCCCCGCCATTGGGGCAACAACAGAGCTCCTCTCTCCTTTGGTGCGGCTGCTCTCATTTCCGACTCTGGTGGTGACTGGTTCGTTGGCGGACGTGGCGGCTTCAACCAGGGCTATATGGACCCCGCTGGTCCGTACTCTATGGCGGATGGTTATCGCAATGATCGCATGAGCCATGAACCCGAGATGTACTCTCGGCCCCCTAGCAGTCGCCGAAACAACCGGTTCGACAACAGCCGCTGGCCGTCTCCTCAGCCATACGGAGGAATTAACTTTGGACATAACTTTGGCGGCTTCACTCCCTCTCCTGCTCCGTTCGACCCCATGGGTGGTCCTCCAGGCAGCGCTTCAGGCAACATGGGCTATCAAGGCTTCAACCAGCAGGGCCCGGGAAGTTCATTGTCGCCCCATGCAACTGAGTTCACCACTGGCGATGGATGGAAGAGCGAGGTACGTGATAATGGCAGATAGGTACCTTGATGTAAAATGCTAATGTTCCATCTCAAACAGGCCATTGCCACTGAGGGCCAGACGTACCTGCCAACTACTGAGCCTCTCAACTATCGCCGCTTGTTGGACCGGAACGTCAATTGCAACTGGAAGTATATTGTGGATAAGATTGTCTGCAACAACGACCAGCAGGCCTCCATCTTCCTGCAGCAGAAGCTCAAGGTTGGCACTCCGGACCAGAAGTACGAGATCGTGGAGGCAATCGTTGCTCAAGCATATCCTCTCATGGTCAACCGTTTTGGCAACTTCCTTGTACAGCGTTGCTTCGAGCATGGCACTCCGGAGCAGGTTGTTAAGATCGCGGAAGCCATTCGCGGCAATACTCTCAATCTGTCCATGGATCCATTTGGTTGCCATGTCGTTCAGAAGGCGTTCGACTCCGTTCCCGAGGACTACAAGGCTATCATGGTCCATGAACTCCTTCGCAGAATTCCCGAGACCGTCATTCATCGTTACGCCTGTCATGTCTGGCAAAAGCTCTTTGAGCTTCGATGGTCCGAGTCCCCGCCCCAGATCATGAAGTTCGTCAACGAGGCTTTGCGAGGCATGTGGCACGAAGTCGCTTTGGGCGAAACTGGCAGTCTGGTTGTCCAGAACATCTTCGAGAATTGTCTCGAGGAAGATAAGGTATGCTGACATTTTCCTACCCTCTTTTCTATATGCGTGTCTAACTATGGATTTGTAGCGGCCCTGCATTGAGGAAGTCCTTGCCAACATTGACATTGTGGCTCACGGACAGTTCGGAAACTGGTGCATCCAGCATATTTGTGAGCATGGCGCTCCAGCGGACAGAAGCCGTGCTATCGACCATGTCATTCGCTACGCTGCCGAATACAGCACTGATCAGTACGCCTCCAAGGTTGTTGAGAAGTGCCTGAAGATTGGCGGTGGAGAGTTCCTCAGTCGCTATCTTGACCGGGTCTGTGAGGGTCGTGTCGATCGCCCTCGCATCCCCCTCGTCGACATTGCAAGCGACCAGTACGGCAATTATCTCATTCAGTACATCCTCACACATGCGGGTCTGCAGCACCGCGAGGTTGTCGCCGCCCACATTCGCAAGCACATGGTCTCTCTTCGTGGCTCCAAGTTTGGATCTCGTGTGGGCATGCTTTGCACCAACCCCGCTGTCGCTACTCGTCCCGGTCCCGGAGTTGGCCCTGCCATGAACCGAATGGGTGCCGGTCCTCGTTACAGCGGCGGTGGCGGAGGCTACCGTTAGACTTTGTCACCATCTTTTCATACTGTCACCATCAACTTCTCAACTGTTCTCACTCTGCGTCACTATAGGACCTCTTTCCCCTAATTCCTTGTCACCCCATTCGATTTCCCTCAACTTTGACAAAGTCATTGCACCACCTCATTTGTCCGTGCTTACGAAACATCTTCCTCAGCCATTAATTTACAAATCAGCTGTCATCCTACGCTCGGCAGGTTATTACTTGTCTGAGTGCATTGGACACTTCATGGTTACGGATTTTGCGATATGGAGTTGCGTCAGTGTGACCTCGAAACCCTAAGTGGGCGTTGGAGTTGCATCACGAAGCCCAGCCAGAATGCTCGCATCTATACATGGCGGTTCATCGACACATCCACATACCCCTTTGATACTCCTTTAGTCTCATCAAAATTCAAACTGGACAACCCGGAGGATGGCGAGGATGGACAACTAGGCAAGCATGGCATATCAGACCAAAAGTCAAAGACAATGATTGTATGTAGTTATGTATCACATTCCGGAAACTTTGGAGTGCGGCCTTGGTCCGGCTTGGACAGCATCTGTGGCAGTCCTCAACTGAGCATTAGGTAGCTCCCTAGAAATGACTCTTCTACAAGTAACTTGGTCCCCTCGATTATCTTATGCGAAGTCGTAAATGGGATCTTCCCATGTCGGGATCATAATGTTTTGCTTGACATTGTTAACTCTGTGGTAATCCACAAGCATTGTACCCCTATGCCCCTCTCCCGAACGCCATTCGTATTGCCTCCTGAATCCTACATGATTCTGATCATGCATCGTTTTACGCTTCTTTGCTTACAGACTCAGCCTCTTCTGCAGGTGATACGGCGTCATCTAACGGTGGGAATTCAGAGTCGACTACAGATGGCTTCTCTACCGCCTCTGCAGTTGCGACATCTCTCTCCCACGGCTTCTTGGGTACCGCACGTTTCCCAAATGGTTTCACAGACTGCAAGTTCAGTAATGATCTTGAGAAGAGAAAAAGAGAAAGGGGAAACACAAGGGGCTAATACTCACTGCGTCTCTAACGACAGTGTCTGGGATCTGTCTGATGCCAGGGATGGGAATCCCCTTTTGAATCATCTCCAGCATCTGCGCGAAACCCATTGGGTACGCTGGTTCGTCGTCTCCTTGGCCTGGGGCGCCCTCCTTCGGCTGCGCTTTTTGTTCGACGTAGAGGTCTGATTTTGGCGCTGCTGTTTGCCATGAGGGCGTTACTTCGTCTGCGGGGTTTGAGGATGAGTCTGGTGTTGGATTTGCGGGGGTGGCCTCGTTGGTGTTGAGGTTGTCGAGCTTCGATGTTAGTGTTGGGACGTCGTCTTTTGGTGGTTCTGTTGCGCCGCTGGCTGCGGAAGCTGTGGAGGAGGATGCCCCTTGTGAGCTAGTTGTGCCGGTGGTCTTGTATTCTTCAGGCAGGACGTCGGGGGGCGTATGGTCCGGGTGCTTCGCGAGCCAGTCCTTGTACTTTGCAAAGTCAATGGTCACGCCGATGCGCTGGGCGTAGTAGAATATCCTGGCGTGGATCGCGAGGTCGGTGGGTGTGCCTTGCGGGTTTTCCGTGTTTGGATCGCCGAGGATCGCGTAGAGGCCGGACTATATGACACCCACCTCGTCAGATAGCTGAAGAATGAGTGGCGGTGCTACGAGGGAGACATACTGTGAACATCTTGTCTCTTTTCCATGGGTACGTGTCAAAGGCCTTGAACATGCCGTCCTCATCTGTGATTGCGCGGATGCGCTCTGCGCCGGAGAGGGTCGCCATTGCGAATGACCCGGTTGTGTGATTATGCTACTAGAGTCACCCGGACCTGGATTGTCTACGAATGCGCGGAAGGAAGGTGTGAGAAAACCACTTGAGTTGTGTGTTGAGAAATGCTGCTCGTCCTCGTTGGTCTGACGTCGTTGCCGAGGCTCAAAAGTCACGGCAAAGATGTCGTTCGGTTTAAGCATCCTCAGAGAGGGAAGCTCAGCGGGATGGCGGGGCGAGAGCTTGGCTTCCATCGCCCCGATAAGATAAGCAAATGAATGTACCCCGCGAAATCGCGGATCGGTGGGGCCCGGGCGGGAAGTTGGGGAGTTTGGGGTTGGGAGTCCTTTGGAGAAGGGAACTTCTTGGCTTGTAGGAGTTTGTTCCGACATCCTTGCTTTTTTCTTTTGGAACTTCATCAGCTTAGATTCAATTCCCTCTTGTCTTCTTGAGTCTGGTTTGGGGCCATATCTATATGTAAGAGTATGAGAGATTGAACCTCCTTTTCGATGAGTAAATCTGACATGTGAAAACCCATTTTGCAAGTACAAGCCTTCATCAGCACACAAACAACAGCACAACGACGGCACATACCGTTCGCCTCCAAAATGACAGAGGTTTTGTACATCTTGATTGCTAGATCTCTTATCTATCTCAGATATATGTCACGGTTTGTCTACGGGCACGCTGACAATCATCAAGCGGCAGAACCTTCTACGGATATGTTTATGTTATGTGGACGGGATGAAGACTATTGCGCAGCGCTGTACTGGCCCCCGTTTCGCACAAGTCCCAAAAATCATGAAAGAAACGTTCGAAGTCGCAAACAGTAAAACGGACAAGTGTAACCCATCAGACATGAAAAGTTTGTGTGTATAGCAAAGCTCCCCCTTCGGGTCCGCTGTTCCGCTGTACAGAGAGCCTCCATCTTACGAACGAGGTTCTAAGTATCTTTGTTTTGTGTGTAGCAATGTGGCTAGCCCAACGGGGCTGCCACTGGTTTGCATCATTTCCAATGGGAAACGAGCTGGTATGTTGTTGATAAGTCCGGGTAAAAGAGGAAAACGTCTAGAATGTCCATGGCGTAAGAAAAGATGCCACACTCAACCCACCCCCTGTGCTGAACGCCAGTAAAACAACACCAACGGTTGCTGAGATTCCCTGAAATCAGTTGGTGGAATCCAATAAACCCTCCGATGCAAAAAGCCGATGTTTCTTTTCGAACGCCACGTGATGATGCTTTTAGTTGTGCTGGAAAAGGACGCTGATCGACTCGCCGTGGTGGACACGACGGATAGCCTCCGCAAAGACCGGAGAGACTGCCGAAATTTAGCTACGTTTCACCAGGACACAACAGTATTCGAGAACACTCACCGTCCAAGAACTCGAGTTTGGAGCAGGCGCGCATATGGTCCTTTTGAGGGACAGTGTTTGTCACGACCATCTTGTCGATGGCAGAAGCGTTGATACGCGGGATGGCGTCACCACTGAGAATGCCGTGCGTCAAGAGGGCATAGATGTGAGTAGCACCCTCCTTCTTGAGCAACTTGGCAGCTCTCGTAATAGTGTTGCCGGTATCGATGAGGTCGTCAACGAGAATGCAGACCTTGTCCTTGACATCACCCACCAGCATCATGCTGGCATTACGCTGCTCGGTGTACTTGGTCGGGCGTCGCTCCTGTAAAAGAAAACATGAATCCTGTGTCTACTGCCTCGGGGAATAATGGCCTACCTTGTGGATCAGGGCGAAAGCCATGTCCAGCTCGTCAGCGATGGCAGTGGCGCGCTTGGCTCCACCAGCATCGGGACTGATAACCACAGCATCCTTGTAGTTGGGGATGTTCTGGCGGATGTACCTCATAAGGAGAGGCTTGCCGTACAAGTTATCGACCGGCACATCGAAGAAGCCCTGGTACTGAGGATCATGGAGATCCATCCTGCGATCATTAGCATGTGCTTCGGAAAGAAGCAATGAAGCGATGCAGGTACAAAGAGCATTTGAAAAAAAAGCTCTAGAGAAGGTCGTAGCGATGGCCTTTGTGTAGCGTAAAGCACGACACAAAAGGATGATCGGGAAGGAAACCTACGTGATCTGCGTTTGATTAGTTTGACTTCACGAATCCTTTGGACCCCTTTGAACGCTCTCTCAAGCTGTTCTCAAGGGGTCTTTTGGGAGGGACATACCACATGGTCCGCACCAGCGCAAGCCAGGAGGTCAGCAACCAGGGTGCCAGCTTGGGCAACCCACTGCTTGTATCCAGGCTTGGACTGGAAGCCATCGATTCGGTTCTGTTGCTCGTTGTCGTGGTTGGTGTAGCTGACCTGAGAGGATACCGAGTCGTGGTGGTTACGGCCGTTGCCATTGGTCTTGGAATGGTCGACACCGTTCATTCCATTAGAACGCTCCTCATTGAGCTTGCTCTTAGCCAGCTTTGAGGCAATGCCGTCAATGCCGTTGGGGAGACCCATGCTGCGCGCAATGCCAGGACCTGGGGTCGCAGGTACACTCTCAAAGGTGTAGTTCTTGGATGTCCCTGCTGCTGACTTTGATAGAGGTGCTCCGGCCTTCTTGTAGGGGACGTCGGGTTGTCTCGAGTAGGGGAACAGAGGCATGACAGCGGTGACTCTCTTGGCGGAGCCCGTCTTGCAGGCAGAGATCATGATGCACAAGTCCATGAAGTTGTCATTGACATTGCCAGATGCAGTCTGGACGATAAAGACGTCCTTGCCGCGCACAGAGTCCTTGATCTCGCAGCGGCTCTCTCCAACAGAGAACTTTGACAGAATGCGCTCGCATGGGTTCAGCCCGAGGTTGTTGCAAACACTGTTAAGAAGCTCCGGGTGGGAGTTGCCTCCGAGAACAATGATATTGCGGACCATTGTAAATAGTTGCTGATTGCTCGAGAAGCAATGGTTGAAATGAAGAAGAGAAGAATAGTGGTCGGGCGAAACCGGCGATATTGGAGGCTGAACCTAGTACCACTCGAGGGTATGACTAGGACCTGAGGAAGAGAATAGAGAGTTAAGGCCGGGGCTGCAATGTGTATTTCGCAGCTAGGGTATTCGAAGATGGTTGTGGAGAAAGATACCCCGGGTATTTTTTGAGGGTTCGAAGGTGTCGTGTGCGGGTTGGAGGATCGCGAGCGAAAGAGCCGGTGTCGGGTTTGCTGGAGGTGTCAAAAATCTGCTAGTGGGGTGCAGGGCGACGTCACAGCGACTGGAATGTGCCGAAGCCGAGGGTATGCGTAGAAGGGAATTGTGTGGTAAAGATGCTGGAGAGCTGGAGAGCAATCAGCGAGGATGAGGGGGAAGGCCTCTAGAGATGCGATCACAACGGGAGCATGACGAACAAGCTCAAGAGGAGAGGGAGGAGGGAAAAGCTGGTAGCGGGGGGGAATTCTGTCTGAAGCTGGGGTTGTCGAGAAGTTGTAAAGGAAAATCTCTGAGTGGATAAGTTTGTTTGGGATTGGCAGGAATCGGGGTCGGGTGCAGTCGCCGCCATGTGGACTTGGGGGTGGCAGGTGGAAATGTGTGGTGGTGGGGTAGAAGGAGAGATTGTACAGGGCTCTCTCACAGGGTGGATGGGTGTAGAAGGCGCCATTTTAGGTTAGCACGGGTACCTTGTTGCGCTTGCGTGTATGTTCATGACTCCGATCTCTGGCAGTCTCGCAGAGATTTTGCGCCCCGACGACGTTCTAACCATGCACTGTATTCTTCCGGTCGTTGCCAGGCTGCCCAGACACGCCGAGCCTCACGCAAAGTGCCGTAGACCGGTGACGGAGATGCCTGAAGCGATGCGAGGGCGGTGACGGCGGCGGGAGACACAGGCGACTGGGTACGCAGGTACAGTGTCGACGACTGACTTCGTACAGGGAGGATTGAATTGCATTGGATTCGTGGAACGCTGCCCGGAATGCAGCAGTGACTCTTGTTCTAATTCTGACTGCGATATGCCGAATGAGGTGGACATTCTGCAATCCATCCCCTTGTCAAAAAGTCTGGCTGCCTCGTGATTGTACGGATAATGTAGACGAAGTATATGCCTCTTGAATGTACATCCAGAAAATAGCGCTCCTTGACGATGATATTGAGGCAGGAAGGAGTACCTGGGGAATCTCACACCTCCCCCTACCTTATTAGTGTAGTACTGTACTGCGTAGGTAGTCGTTCTAACAAGGAGTGAAATAACGCGAGTAACCGACCGGCTTTTATTAACGACGAGAGGTGCAGGTGGCAGGGCCGCAGGCAGGAGCAAGCGGCCACCGGCCAGCGGAGGCGCCTACTTTGAATCTGAAGCCGCCAACCTAACACCAACGCTCTTTCCCCCTCTCATTGCGCAATTCCAGATCCGGTACGTACTCTGCGACAATTTGGCACATGGCAGAGTGGGGGACTGGGCATCGTGATTGGTGCCTTGGGCCGTGTTAATGCACCTGCTTTTCTGCTTGCCTTTTTATCTCCCTGCAGCTCGTTGCCAACCGTACCGGCCATCGACCGCGGGGCACTTGGGTTGTCAAGAAGAATTTGCGGCAGCATCGTACCTTGCCTTCCATTGCTCGCCCCAGAAATCCGTACAGTCACAGGTGTAATTCTTTTTACGAGATTACACAGTACCTTTACCTCGTCTGACTCTTCCAAGTTTTCACAAGTCTCAACTGGATTCGAGGCGACCCGATATTTTCTACCCCAAGGTAGAGTCACCAGTCACTCGCCCTTGTCAAATTAAACGTCAGCTTGTCCAAGGTTGTACCACTTGACAATCTATTCCCGGCCCTCTCAAAGAACATCTGCGAGGTTCCGTTTTGAGTGACAGGTACATTGGCCTAGCCTCTTCACCTTGCACACCGACACGTCAATTTCCGCAAACACCAAGCGCCTGCGCAGCTTGCATTTTCCGCACTCTTTTTTGGGCTGATACGCAATTGCCGCCGTCGCCACCTGGTATCAAACGGTTTGCATCACACCTCCTCTACCCGGAAATCGCAACCTAGTCGTCCCCGCGCCAAGCACGCAATCAATATGAAGATCCTTGAGGCTCAGTCGGCAGTTTTGACCAACTATGAGGTCTATCAACATTTGAATGAGCGCAAGCTTGGTCAGAAGAAGCGTGAGCGTGGAGAGCGCCGCGGCCCCGGCAACCTTGAAGCACTGGCAAGAGAGGTGAGTCTGACTTCATATCGGTGATACATGCAATGAAAATTGGGTATCTGCTTTTGTGTTGTAAACTCATGGCTGACACATATGTAGCTCCTCCAGTATCTGCGGACAGCACCAAACCCGCTTAGCCAGGACCCCATCACCTATCACCCAGACTGTATCACCCAGCTCCTGGGAAAGCTTCAGCCCTATGACTTGGCCAAGGGTGAGGTCATCATGATCCTGAATCTGCGCCCAGCATCCGTCGCCGCTCTGAACACCGTCATCGAAGAGATGCCTGAGCGCTTCGATGAAAACCAGCAGGAGGAGATGGTCAACATCATTGCTGAAGTGCTTGGCTCATTCCCCCAGGAGGCAGGGGAAGAAGAAGGCGCCGAGGAGGCTGCGAACGGCGCTGCTTAGAAAGCCTTGCCGCATCACACTTCGCAACTCACCCTGAACGGAACCGATTCCTCTGACATGTCCTCTTCTTTCGAGGGCACCGAGTTCTCTAGGGTGTCCTCTTCTTCATGGAGCGGAATAACAGAGTAGCCCTGACGAGGCAACGAATCTCACATGGCGACACAACCGCCCTCGCTCTGTCCTCCCTCGGCCTTCCGCGTCATGATTGCGGTTTTACCAATCTCCTCAAACGCCAGCTTGAGCAGTTCGCCCGTCACCGCGGAGCATTCCATGTACTTGTCTATGCGGATCTCCTGCGCCTGCTGGTATGCTTCTTGGGGGTAGATGATCCCGTTAGGGTCGTCTTCAGATCGTAGGTCTCTCTTGAGACCTAGCATGAGAATAGGCAAGCGGTCGGGCCTGCGGAAGGACATTTTGACCTCCGGAAGCCACTGTATCAGATGTCAGACGGGATACAGAAAGAGGAGAGAGAGAGAGAGTCATTCAGGAGAACATACATGTCTCCTCATGTTGATCAGACTCAGCCGTTGGCTTATGTCGTAACACAGTATGACGATGTCCGGCTCGAGAAGCTTCCAGTTCTCGGGGCTATTTGTATCATAAAACTCTAGACGGTACGGTTTTCCAGAAAACTTGATCTCGAAAATAAAGGGTTGGTCAATATCTCTGAGCAATCTGATGGGGCCGGTGCCTTCGCCGGCGCTCAGTCGTCTATCTCAGGGGCACATTTCATTAGCATTGTGAGACCCCCCAATGGCATGATCTCGATAAAGGGCATACGGACGAGAGAAACGACGTCTTTCCACATTTTTCATCACCAACTAATAATATCTTGACTGATTCTTCGTCCATGATTGCAGAACGGAACGGCTGCTTCGGACGACTTCCGTTGGGACGTCTAGATACGGGATGTCTGGGGAACAAATGGCGCAGGGCCAGGCCTGGCGCGGACTCAGCCAAGACTCCAGCATAAGAAACACAGTGCCCATTCCGCACCCACTGGTCCCGTCGCAACGGTTCGGCTTTCTCCATGAGGAGGAGAGAGTGTGGAGTTGGGTCAGCCACAACACAAGCCACATCTTATTTTCTACAGGGCGAGAAAAAAAGTTGATGGTTTTAAGAAATAAAAAATAAAAATTGGGTGTCACTCAACTTGCATGCGTCGGCCCCTCCAAAGTGACTCTTTCAGGCCCAAAGGTACCCGCATGATGCCGGTCCGCGTCTAAACCACCACCACTACCCCTCCAAAATTTCCCATAAACTCACATGAGAGGAGAAGGAGAGGGCATATGAAGCCCTTACATGAATTGTTTTGGGGTCTCTGTCTGCATTGCCCGCCAAGCCCGAGTCTGAACCTATCGAGGCACGCTGGAGGCCTATTACACGGCTGCTCACAAGTTTTAGCCCGTCGAGGAGGGCAATATCAACGCCACCACCATCTGCGTCGTTTCACTACTACTCACCAGCATCTCACTCATCCTTACCGGCCATCCTCTATATTCGCGGCTAGGCGCTTCAGCACCGCTCCCGTCGCAAACATGGCCGATGTGAGCGGTCGGTACGAGTCATGGGACCAGGCGCGTCTCATCTCCCGCATAAGACAGCTCGAGCATGAACTCGACAAGCGGGATGCGGCATCAAAAGCCTCCGGAGCCGGGTCCGGGACCCCCAGCAATAAGAACGGCGCCGGTGCCGGTGCCGCAGGAGTAGCAACGGACGGAGCCCCGCCGGTGAAGAAGAGGAAGAAGGAGGCCAAGCGGATCGACTCATCGCGGTATTCCACCCGCTTCATCGCGCTCAAGCTGGCGTACCTGGGCAAGCGGTACGGAGGGTTCGAGTACGCCACCTCGGCGAGCCTGCCGACGATCGAGGGTGAGCTGTGGAACGCCCTGACAAAGTCGTGCCTCATCTTCCCCGAGGATCAGGACGTCGTCAACTTTGACTGCTGCGAGTACTCCAAGTGCGGGAGGACGGATCGCGGCGTGAGCGCGTTTGGACAGGTCATCGGTTTGCGGGTGCGGAGTAACAGACCAGTACCGAAGAAGCAAGAGGATCCTGCACCGGCTGCTGGGGCTGAAGGGGATGACACTCCCATGGAGGGCACGGAAAAGGTGGAAGAGGAACAGAAAGAAAAGAAGCCCGAAAAGGCCTGGGACGAGATCAACGACGAGATCCAGTACGTCAAGGTCCTTAACCGTCTCCTGCCCGACGACATCCGCATCATCGCATGGTGCCCCTCCCCGCCGCCAGACTTTTCCGCTCGCTTCTCGTGCGAGGAGCGCCAGTACCGCTACTTCTTTACCCAGCCCGCCTTCACGCCCACGGCGACGACCGTCGACGGCACGCCGGACGGTATGAAGGAGGGCTACCTCGACATCGACGCCATGAACCAGGCGGCGCAAAGCTTTATTGGGTCCCACGACTTCCGTAACTTTTGCAAGGTGGACGGGAGTAAGCAGATTACCAACTTTGAGCGGCGCATGTTCGAGGCTGGCGTAGAGGAAGTCAAGGACGTGGGTACGGTGCTGCCGTATCTGGGCGCCAGCGCTGTTGATGGTAGCCAGCTTCCAAAGGTGTATTCGTTCAATATCCGCGGGACGGCGTTCCTGTGGCATCAGATCCGGCATATGGTTACGATTCTCTTCCTCATCGGCCAGCGCCTTGAGACGCCCGATCTCGTGACGCGGTTGCTCGACGTGGAGAACACGCCGCGGAAACCAAATTATGACCTCGCGCACGAGACGCCGCTGGTGCTCTGGAACTGTGTCTTCCCAGGCGACGACGAAAGTCGGACATCAAACGACGCGGAGAACGCTTTACACTGGGTGTATGGCGAGGCTGACGTCGTCGAGAACCTGTGGTCGCACTACCGCGAGAAGAAAATGGACGAGCTGCTCGCGAACCGTCTCCTGGATCTCGTCTCAAGACAGGTGCAGGGAACCGAGTCGAAAGCGAAGGGGAAAAGAGTGTTCCAGGGCGGGCACGAGGGAAAGTTGTCGGGCGGGTACGTGCCAATCGCGAAGAAGCAGCTGACGCCGTCGCCGGCAGAGATTAATGACCGGTGGGCGCAGCGTAAGGGGTTCAAGAACTCGGATGAGATGAGGGAATCGAAGAATTGGAGGAAGGTCATTAAAGATGCCAAGCAGGCTGCTGCGGCGGGTGATGGGGATGAGTAGGTCATGAGCATGTGCTCCCCTATCATAAACAATAAAGTCAAGCAGAAAGCTTTGAGAAGATCGTAAATTCATCAAGACTATGAGAGAGGTGTTATACCCCGTTCTGCCATCTATCGTCCATCTTTCTATTGCCACTCCCACCATCCGCCTCCCAAAGACACCCCCTCACGCCTCGCCACACCGTCTCGACAATCTTCTTTTTGGGCAGTATCCTCGGAAACACAACCACGATGTCCTCCTCCCCCTCGACAATGACAATCAAGTAGTACCGCACCTCGAAGCCTCTGAACGCTTCATTCACCAGCACATCCTGAATCTTCTCCGTAGGTATGAACCGCGTCGCGGCAGCCGACAAGTAGCTCCCGCTCGTCGAGCTCGTCTGTATCCCCAGCCCGCGCAGCACGAGCAGACTCTCAGTGGTGTGCGTGCGTTTCAGCGTCGCGTACGCCGCAAGCAGACACCCCGGGACCAGGACGGGTAGTGGTATTGCGTGCGAGGCAGCGACGGCGTGCGCGAGGCGGCCTGGCGCAGAGGCGCGTATGAATGACAGTATCTGCCAGACCGTCGCGCTCGAGAAGAGGGCGTCTGAGCCGTTGGTTGCAGTTGCGGCTGCGATGGGTTTTGTTCTTGTCGATGCGGAGAGGAGGGAGGTGACGTATGGTGATTCTGTCAGGGCTGCTTGGAGGAGGAGAATCGAGGAGAAGAAGAGGAGGATGCGGAGGGTGAAGAGGAGGCCTGAGAGGACGCGAACTGTGAGGGTTGGTGGTGGGCGGGTTGTTACTGTGAATTCGGCTGTCGTTGGCGAGGGGCGCCGGACGTGGAGGCGGGGTGTTGTTGCGAGCATCGTGAGAAGCAGAAGCAGCTCGGAAATTGAGAACGGGAGCAGACTGCTATGGTGCCATTGGGGTTGTGCGGGTTGGTGGCGGCTTGGTGGTTTGGATATTTGGTTCGGGGGAGTTGGTGAGAGCTTCGCAAAGCCAGAACCCCTGGGCGCAATCGCGAAGTCAACTACGACCAGGATTGCAAGCTGGGGTGGATGATGGAAGCTTAAGGTAGGTCGGTGCTCGGTGGACATGTTCGCCGGCACGTTGAGTGCCTGCATGCGCAAACTAGCTGCTTACCTCATCGTCCCCACCGATTCACCCGCACGTCCTCTCCGCCAGCTTTGGACCCTACTTATGTCACAATTTTGTTCGCGGTTATCGGCTGTAATGGTCAAATGGTTGAAGGCTTTCGTTACTCTTCTTCCGCTACCCCATCCACACTGGAACCCTTCAGCGGCGCCCAGTGCGAATGCTGCGGTGGCCACCCACTCGCACGGGTAACCTGCGATCGCTGCGTGTGGCCCTAAGCAATGAAGATGACACTTGAGGGAGGTTTCACTCTGCAGAGGCATCTTCACCGTCGCATAGCGCGCTGGATTACGATCGCTGAGGGCTTGGGGTAGTGGAGGCGGATAGAGATATCGACTCCAATTTTTTTGCTCTTTGGCTCTTTCTTTTTACCAAGTATTATAGATGCATCTGCATTGATTGCAGTTGCGACCGTCTGATTGTTGTCGCTGGCAATTGGGACGAACGCTTGCTATATACGCAGTTGGTGATGCATTTCGTGGTGTTTGGAAGTACCTTTCTGGGCACAGTTCTTCTCGCACATGGTTCAATCCCAGTCGACGACAACCCCTTTTTTCGTTTTTGCACCTTTCCCCGTGGACCAAACTCAATGAAATGAATGGGAATGCTTTCTTGGTGCTCTTATATCACATGTATCATGTCTCATTAAGTCTCGGAATCAGATTGCATTCTTCTCAACATTCAGCCTGTACATGGCCATCTCGACGAGCAAGCTACATAGCTATCACCACCCGCTTAAAAAGGGAATAAGAGACCAACATCAGTTGCAATCCAGTCAGTGACTTGAAAAAGCAGATCTGAAAAGGAAATAAAAGTTGAAGAAATGAAAAAAGGCGGGGGAAGGAAGAATCCCCGTACCCTTCAACTAGATGAACAAAGATGCCGTGAGGCAACATTGTAAGACACGCGTTTCCAGCACTTTTCGGTCCTTTTTCACCCATCCCGTTCTCACCCCTTCGTCCTCCTCCTCCTTCTATCTCCCTCACCATACTAGTTGGCGCAAGATGGTGTCATCTTGAAAACCATCCAGCTTTTTCTCTGTTTTTGTTTCCATTTGGTCCTCCTCGACCTTCCCCCGCGGACTCTGTCCATTCCATCACGTACATCGCCGCTCTTCCCACTACAGGTATTGTGTGTTCATATGTATTGCCTCGCGGCTCTGCCCCGAAATCCCAAGACCCAGCCATCATCAGTCATCATTTGAGAAGTTAAGAATGCAAAGCAAGAAGTGTAATGAAATAAGGTGAAAGAGAAACAGAAATTGGAGAAGAAATGGCGTTTCACTCCGCGTTCCAATGCTCGTCGTCAAGGATAGACTCGAAGTATACAAAATGCGGCTTCTAACTGCTATTGTTGTGGTTCTGGCGGCCCCAGAGCTGCCACACTGCAAAGGGTGTTGTTCGTGTTCGTTGGTCATGGAAAAAAAGTAATGGTATCGAGATTCATCGAGAAACGCCTGTCGCCATGCAACGAATCGAAACGTGATGCGTAAAGCTAATTAAGGGGTTGGGGAGTGTTGGAACTTTTTCAGCAAGAAGACCAAATCAAATCATCTCGCTGTGGTGCAGGCCAGTAGGCAAGCTCTTCTGCGCCATGACGGGGGGAGATCGCATCGACTCGCGGCCATAGTTCATTGGCATGGGTACGCTCTCATAAGGGGCGTATTCGTAGTCCTCCTGACCGCGGGGCCGCGCTGATGGCTCTTTGCGGTTGCGGCTGCCGGACCTGAAGCGGTCGGTCGCCTTGGAGAATCGGCCAGCGATGCTGTTGTCGCGTTCAGAGAAGCTGCGTCCTCGGCTGTGACCACCCTTGGACACGGGCGGGGCGGGTGGTGGAAGCACTGGGACTGTTGTGTCCATGGGAGCTGCAATAGTCGTTTGGATAACGTCATCGTCATCCATGACAATCTCAATCATACCGGAACCCATGGTCACGGGTTGGATGTGGGCGGTGTACGGGAGAGGCGCCGGGGGCGGGGGAGGAGGCATCGCAAGGTGCTGAAGCTCCTTCAACATTGGCGGAGCAGGAGGAGGAGGCGGCGGCGGTGGGATGCTTCCGTAGTTGTTGCTTTCTTGGGAGGCACGTCTGACCCGGATCATGTCGTCGACTGTGCGGATCTCACCAGAGTGACCTCTTCTCATGGAAGGACCGCGAGAAAGACCTTTGCTGTTGGCGCTAGGACCTCTAGGGGAGGGCGCATCAGGAGGGATGGGCGGGGCCGACATGCTGCGAGGAATCATTCCGCGGTTAGGAGGTTGATAGACCGTGGAAGGAAGCTGATAAGTTGTCTGAGGTAGCAAAGTGAGGGTCTCGGCAGACTGCTCTTTCTCGGGGGACTGCTGCTGGGGAGAAGTCACCGGGGAATGTCTCTGAGCAAACGTAGCCGGGATTGGGGGCACCGGAATGCTGTTCTTGTCTTTGTCCGACTCGATGATGAGACGCATGGCCTTGGGCGTTGCGGGAAGGCCAATGTGCACATTCGAGCTGCTGCGGGCGTACATGCTCCTGTTGGTAGTAGGGTCGGCAGTGTGGCTGCGAGGCGGAAGCTCAACGGCACTTGGCGATGATTCAATCCCGATTCGGATATGGTTGGGGTGGGGAATCGGTGGCGCCGAGGGACGCTGTGCGAGGGACTTGCGTCGTTCCTCGAGCTCGCGAGCAGCTTCCTCCTTCTTACGCTGCCTCTCGTCTTTCATGGCCTTCAAGTCTCCAGCATGCTCCGTAGAGGCAGCACGAGACTTGGATTGGGGAGGCGCAATATCGCGGGACTGGTCGAGGTTTTCACCAGCGTGGCGGCGGCGACTCTCGGATCGGTCCCGTCGAGGGAATTCTCTGGTAAGCTCAGGTGAGAGCGCCTTGCGGGATCCATGCTGGCTGGTGCTTCTGTTGTGTCTGTTTCTGAAGTTCTCTTGGGCAACAACAGCCTTGACATAGTCTTCCTCGTCTTCAGACCCCTGGTAGTGGACAAGATTGGCTGACAGTGGTAGGGGAGACGAAGGTGACCTGGCATGAGAACCAGTACGGTCCGCACTTCGGCCGCGGAGTTCAAGCGCAGGAGGGCGATGTCTGTCTTCGGGGCTTCTGTTGCGGCCTTGGCTACCCCGGCTGGATGCGCGACTAGTACCCTTCCTGCTCTTGCTAGACTTCCTCACTGTGACGGGTTCTCCAACATCCGGCAAAAACTTGGGCGTACTCAAGTTGATGAGATCCTCGGGCGACATGGGGATGGGCGAGGTTGGGGATCGCTTTGCCTTGGGCCAGTTACGGCTAGAGGCACGGCCACGCTCGGCGGAAGCCTCGCGAGAAGACGCCTTGCGAGTGCGGCTGTGGTCACGGTCGCGGCCACGGGAGCCATCGCGCTTGCCCTCCCGACTAGCATGTCGGCTTCGCTGCTTGCGTTGTTGCAAGCGCTGAGCAGTGTCGAGGCTGTGGATGTAGTCCTGTCGTCCACCCGTAGTGTTGCTGCGGATGCTTTTGCCAGTAGTGGATTGAGACGTAACAGAGCCTGTGACAGAGCCGGGTCCCCTACGTCGGGAAGGCCAGTGGAAACGGGTGGAAGATGCCACTGACTGCTCGGGAGAGGTAATCTCATTGGCCATGTTGTTCAGACCTGCAAGCTCGAGATGAAGGCCCTTTGGCTTGCGGTCACGGGAACCATTGCGCTGAGCCATGCTGCCTTCCATCTTGATGATCATTCTAGCATCGGGAGACGGGGGAGGCGCTTCTCTTGTTCGCGTGGTGATCTTTTTGTATTGATCACGCATCATCATCGGGCTTGCTGTGGCAGCCCTCTGCAGAGACAGACCGGCAGCGAGATTTTCCTGCTCGGCAGAAGACATGCGCAATTGCATGGCACGTCGAGATTCCTCAACGTCAACCTGAAGCTGTTCGCGCGACAAGTCTCCCGGAATCTCGCCGATGGAAGGGAGGCGCTTGCGACTGAAGGCAGATGCTCCGGATCTTGCCGAGTTCGGGGTGTTGAACTGGCTGCGGTTTGGTGGGCGAATGAAGGCAGTGGTGACATCGTATCCGCCGGGAGAGACTGCAGAATCGGCGATGGGTGTTGGGCCGGCAGCGATAGGAGTCTGTCCGCCGTCTCCTTGAGAGAAGAACTTTGACTTCCCTTGCTGCTCTCCGAATGATGTGATAAGCTTCAAAGCAGACGTCTTGGCGATGCTTCTCTGGGGTCCACGGTTAATGCCAGGAGGCGAGAGGGGAGGCGACAGGACTTCCGGGATGTTCTCATGGACATTTTGGTTGATGCTCTGGAAGGTCACCTGGGCAGCAGAAGGTGATGTCCATGGTTCATCAGACTCGGCGCCAGTGCAGGCGAAGCTGAAGAGTGTGTTAGCTCATCGTCCCATGGTTTTGGCTCAGTAAAGGAAACATACCATCTCACGGCAAGCTGCTGTTGCCCGTGCATAACAGCCCATTCACCCCATTTCTTGATGATAGCTGCCTGCCGTTCCCAGACGGCGGGATAGAAGAGACAAGTCAGGATAAGCGCCTCCATGTACTTCTTGTGGGACACATAGATCTCAATGGCATCGTTGTGATCACCCATGCCAATCAAAATGGTCACAGCGGCGTGAATATCACCATGCTCCAAGAGTCTTTGGACGTAGGCGCGCCCCAGCTTGTGCTGCGAAGCTTGGCCTCCGATACCGCTGAGGGCTAGCAACATCCAGTCAGACGAAGTCATTGAGGCTGAGCTCGCTGCCATGACATCCGCGTCAATATCGCCCAGCCATCTCATCAGAAGGATGCGCGCCGGTGAAGCCGCATTGTGTCGGCTTAGTTCCTCTCTGACCAAGTCGTCAATCTCCTTGTTCCATCCAAAGATGGTGCTAAGCATCTGCTTGCGAAGATCGTCATTGGTGAGTCGGCTATGGTCACTTCCAATCGGGTGCTTGTAAGGAATGTCGCTGAGCCGACTCCTGGTGTACTTGAAGAGATCCTGAACCTTGCTGTCGACAGGGCTCGGCAAGACCTCATTTCGCAGACGGGATGGCCTAGAACGGCGAGAGCGGTATGAGGACATGGAGGTGCCGCTCATCATTGACGTTCCGCTCATGGAATACATGTCTCGTTCTTGGTAAGGTGCAGCAGAAGATCTGAGAGATGACCCAGCAGAGATGTAGGTGTTTTCAGTCATGCCTCGAGAGACGGCCGACGACGGATACCGGCCGGGCGTCCGAGATCCTCCGGAGGATCGCGAGATGGAAGACAGTCCGCTGCGGCTAGAAGCCGCGCTTGCGGTATC